ATTCTTGACTTTCTCGTTAAGAGAAGTCAATCTTTCAGTTTTGTCATCCTTGACTTTCTCATTAAGAGGAGTCAATCTTTTAGTGTTGTCTTCCTTGACTTTCTCGTGAAGAGGAGTCAATCTTTTATTGTTGTCTTCCTTGACTTTCTCACGAAGAGAAGTCGATCTTTTAGTGTTGTCCTACTTGACTTTCTCTTCAAGAAAAGTCAACATTTTAGTGGTTCTTAACTTTCTCATAAAAAGAATTCAGCCTTTTAATGATGTTATTCCTGGCTTTCTCGTGAAGAGGAGCCAATCTTTTAGCGGTGTTATTCTTGACTTTCTTGGGAAGAAGAGTCAACTTTTTAGTGATGTCATTCTCAACTTGACTTTCTTGCGGAGAGGAGTTAACTTTTTAGTAGTATCATTCCTCAACTTGACTTTCTCGTGTAGAGGAGTTAATCTTTTTGTAATGTTATCTCGAATCCTGACTCTCTTAGGACTTGTGTCCTTTAAAGATCAATTTAGTCTTCCTAAAGATTGTTCCCTAAGGAACCAACTCCTTGAGGTTTTAGGCTCATTGCTTTAGAAACCTCACTTTAGTCTCTCTTGAGATCATTTTCCAGAAACCTCAACCTCATCTTCCATAAGACTCTAGAAATTAACTTTGTCTATTTTGGGTCACTTCCCTTGAAAGTTCTAATTTTTTCTTTCTTAAAGACCTTTTCACTTTCTCAAAAACCTTTTTCACTTTCTCAAAATATTAATGATAAATGAATTGCATCACTTCATTTTTTATTCAGATTCGTTGCACTTTCAAGATGAATATTTTATAGGTTTTTCAAGAAAACTAAAGATTTATGACCAGCAGAAGTCATCAACTAATCTAAAGACCCAAGAAGGGAAAAGTTCAAATGAAACTCGAGTCAAGGCGGATTCACATATCTGGTGGCTGCGAGACAAGTTCCCACAAGAGAAGTTGATTCTCAAAGATTCTCTCAAGTTATAAACTTTCGAGTATGATGTTTTCAAATTCTCAAACATACGCTAATGATTGGTAATGTTTGATTTTCAGATTCGATCTTCTTGAAGATAAGTGAAGCAAATCGATTTTGATTCAATCTTCCCTGAAGAGCAGTGGAATAGATCAAAGATTTCTTGAGTCTGATCTCCCTTAAAGAGTAGTGGAGTAGATTCTTCTTCTTTCAGATTTGGTCTTCCTGAAGAGAAGTAAATCAAATCGATTCTGATTCAATCTTCACTGAAGAATAGTAAAGTGGATCAAAGTTTTCTCGAGTCTGATCTCCCCTAAAGAGTAGTGGAGCATATTCTTCTTATTTCATATTTGGTCTTCCTGAAGAGCAGTAAAGTAAATCGATTCTGATTCAATCTCCCCGGAAGAACAGTGGAATGAAACAACATTTCTTGGTCTGATTTACCCTGAAGAAACAGTGGAGCAGATCCCTTATCAAATTTCAAAGCACGGAGATGGAACCAGAAAAAACGCGTTGTCTTTTTATCATTATTATTAACTAAAATTATTATTATTATTATTATTATTATTATTATTATTATGTTTGCAGGCCAAATTACAAACCCGAATTGGGCCCAAATACAATCTACCCTAAGCAACCCAAACGACCTAATAAGTTACAAGCCCAACAAGACCAACCCAAGATCGGAGGCCTAATCCAACAGGCCCATGCAACAACCAAAATTAATTAGGGTTTCTGAACCCTAATCCTTTCAGCCACTGATTACACCAAGGGTTCTTCCCACGCCATCGCGCCGCCACTGTTCCAGCCACTGGTGCCTGACAATTCCAGTAGCTATTCTACTACTCCATCATCATCATCTCTATTTAATAGTGACAACCAAGTCAAAAAAAGAAGAAAAAAAACCCACTAGAAAATTAATAAAAATCCCAAAACATTGGGATGCATTAATACAAGGATAGGGGAAATCATTCCCCTCAGTTCTAGCTTAAACCAAACATGTCAAGCATTGAAATAAAACCAAATACCGAAAAGAGACTTGGGGACATTCGGTTTTGATAAAAACAGAGAGAGAAAAGCTAGAAAAAAGAACGAAAAAAAGAGATAACAAGCATAAAACAAATAAGAGGAAGAAGAAAAAACTCACCTTTTGGCCGAATCTAGTCACTTTAGCTTCACCGGGGAAATGATTTTACCCTCACCACTTAAGGTAAACCCTTACCTTCTCATTTTTGGGGAGGGGGGAAGGGAAGGTACCTTGTTGGTTTAAGGGTTTAGGTCGAGAGAAGGTTATATTTAGTTGTTAAAAAGAGGTGTTAGTGAGTGAGATTGGCCCTCATCGCGACTCTGTGCGGTGGTGGCCATGGTGGTTTGTGGACACCGATGCTTTTTCATACAACTTTTATAAAAAGAAAAAGAAATGAAAGGGTTAAGAGAAAAAGGGGAAGAAAGGTCGGCCAACTTAGTGAGAAATGAGGCTAGGGTAACCAAATAACTCATAATGATATATATATATATATATATATATATATATATATATATATATATAAAAATTAGTTTTAAAATGATGCGGTTTAGGGGGTTAGGGTTTTACTGGTTTCACGTATGGGTAAACCATGTGGAAGTCATTTTGGGGTTTACAAAGTTTAATTTAGTAACTGAAAGAGAGTTTTCAATTTTATGTTTTAAGCTCTTTCTTTTATTGGCTATATGTTTTAGTCACTGAATGTATAGTTGATGTTATTTGGGTAAATTATTCGATTGAGTCTTCGAATCTGTGAAGTTGTAATTGTAATACATTTTAATATATTATGAAAGTTTCTTATTTTACCCCTATGTTTAGTGCGCGGTACATTTTTTCACCATAAGCTATGCACTTTTGATTGTTTTAATTTTCGGCATGTAATATTGAATTATTTTATTTTGGTCCCAAACATACAAGTTTATTACACTGTCAGTTCTTGTAATATTTGATTCTTGTATTATATGTTTTGTTATTTAGTTAATTTGCAATAGTTGTCTTAATCTCTTGTTAGTTTTATAGTTTAATCCTTAAAGTTACCATATTTATTATTTTAATCTTTCATTTACATGTTTGTAAATTTTTTGCTAATTGAAATATTTTCAAATATTATTTTATACGAGGAATTTATGGAAACATCCCTTAGCTGACAAGAAGTGAGTTTCTAAGAATTGCTTGAATAAAATAATACCTTTTATTTTTTTAAAATGAATTTGTTTTTTTATCTATTTGTTTTATCTAAAATTTAGGGTAATATTATTTTGTACGAGGAATCCATGAAAATACCCCCTTAACTGACTAGGAAGGTATTTTTGAGGATTGTTCATACAAAATAATATCCCTTTTAATTGTTCTAAAAAAGGATCACAATTTAAATGCATATTCAAGTTTTCCAATTTTAACATTCAGATGACGTATAATCGCTTAGGTACCGATTTAGGCGATGTGGGGTGCTAATCATTCCCCACGCGTAATCCACTCCCGAACCCTTTTTCAAAATAAATTTCTGATTAAACACATATCATTGTTTTTATATCTTTTAAAATTATTTTTCTTAAAATAATTTTAAAATGTATTTTTAGGTATTTGACCTACCTAATCCAAAGGTCGACGTCGAATCCAAAACTATTTATTTTTTTCTTTATTTTAAAACCTAACATTTTTCAATATCATGTTGGATCGCTCCCCGCCATAGCCCTAAAAAGCTTTATGACCGTTCCGATAATAGGGACTAAATGGATAATTTTCCCTTACCAATTTTCAACCAAAATCAACAATAATTTTTGAAAATTTACTATGCTTAAAACGGTGTATTAATGCACCACAATTCATTTTGACTTTTGAATATTTGTTTCTAAAAATATTTAAATTCTTATATATTTTAAAATTTTTAAATGTTTTATTTTGATAATTTACATGAATGAGGAACGACATGGGGAGAAATAATAGAGGATGACAAGCAAAAAGATTAGGAATTGAGAAAAATGAACCTATTGTTTCATTAATTCATAAATTTGGGGATTACATTATTCCTAATACCCTATACAACTAGGCACTTCTATAGACCAATATAACACTAATCCATTAATCAACTAATAACCATTTAACTAGTAATCAGTTACAATGGCCTAACACAACTCTTTTGGCCCAATGATAACAGTTTCTATTCCTCATGGATTGATTTATTTATTGAAAACTATAAGAACCAAATTTTGCATGATAAATTTTTTAATTTAGTAGGGCAGTTTGCTGGGCCAATGTATTTGTAAATAGAGTAAATTGCAAATTTAGTACTTAAATTATTACTTTTGTTTTATTTTAGTACCGAAACATTGTTTTTCAAAAACGTTATTTCACGTTTAGTTTATGTTTCATTTTGATACCCGTTATTTAAAACTTAACTATGAATTGACATGTCATCATAAGAAAATGTTACATCATCGTTGAAAAATAAAAAATTGTCACGCCAACAATTCTATTATGTTTTTAACGATAGGGTATCAAAATGAAATCTAAACTAAACCTGATATATATATATATAGTTTATTAATAAAGTTTAATTACCAAAATAAAATAAAAATAAAAATTTATGCACTAAACTTGCCTTATGAACTAAATAAAAACACCCGGGGGAACATAAAACTTAAATTGAATTATAATTGTTCGAATATATATAGTTTGGATCGTACTAAAAGAAATTCAAACGGAACCGAAGGATTATTTTGCTTCGCATTACGTTTAGTTTTCAAACCAGGTGGAAGTGTGTACAGCGTGGGAGATATTTTAGCATTAAAATCTTGGAATTAATGTACATGCCAACAGCGTGTCCATCGAACTTAGACAACTTCAATGACAATTATGCTCGATTATTTTTTTTTATTTTAAATTTTAAAGATTTTATTTTTTAATTTAAATTTAATCCTTATTTAAGGATGTGTAGTAGTAATAATCTAATTTTATTCTTACATATCGCAAATCTCCGAGTGTTTAGAACCTGAAAAACAATGGCTAAACTTTTACAATTGAATAACGTTCCATGCAAGACGTTATCAACTCCACACCATTTCCAAATCATTCCAAAACCTTCAATAATGCATCTTAACTATATGAAACCAATTCATAATTCAATCTGCGTATCTCACTTTTTGACCCGAAAGTCAATCCGGCCGAGACCCGGTTTCCAAGTATTTGCAGCGGACGACGACGGCCGGGACAAGGAGGAAACGGAGAGGTTGAAGAAAGCTTTGGTGGATTCGTTTGAAGGGAGTGATCGTGGGTTGAAGGCCACTAGCAAGGCGAGAGCTGAGATTAGTGAGCTTATAACTCAGCTCGAGGCCAACAACCCAACTCCCGCTCCAACTCAGTCACTGCCTCTGCTTAATGGCAAATGGATTCTCGCGTAAGTTTCTCTTTCTATTTTTCCCTTTCTTCATTGAGTTTTCTTAAGTGTGTAAATGAACTCATCTTGAACGAATAAAGCTATGTTCGTGTTGATTTATTTATTTTTTGAATATGTTTATGTCCCTCATTTAGTATTTACGAATATATTTATTTAGCGTTTGTGAACTTACTCGTTTATAGTTTGCTTTATACAATCATGTACTGTTTTGTGGCACAGGTACACATCTTTCACTGCTCTATTCCCGTTCCTGTCAAGGGGACAATTGCAGCTATTAAAAGTAGAGGAAATATCACAAACCATAGATGCTGAAAGTTTGACTGTGCAAAACTCCGTCCAATTCTCTGGTACATTGGCCTCAAGTTCTGTTACCACCAATGCAAAGTTCGAGATCCGAAGTCCGAGGCAGGTGCAGGTATGTTTAGGAGTGTAAATAAATAGAGCATTCAATGAACTGTTCGTGAACCGGTTGTATAACATTCATTTATTAAATTAAATGAACGAGTATGAACTTAATTTTTATGTTCATTTAATAACTGAATGAACACGAAAAAAGATGTGTCGGGTTCATTTACGTTCACGAACAAACTCCTTTATCAGTCTCATTTTCTTTTCTTCTTTTAACATTTTAAATATTGGTGGAAGTATTGACTAAATTGAACATATGATAAATTTTGGAGTTCAAACTGTGAATCTTAAGGGGCTTAAGCACTAATAATGTAATTCTACTATTTCTGAACATATAAACGAACATGTTCGCAAACGCTAAACGAACCTAACACAAACACAATATTAAAAATTCAAACAAACTGATCATGAACACATTAAAAAATAAACAAATAAATACGAACTCAGACTTGTTCGTTCAAGCCCGAATACATTTACACCCCTAGGTACATTGTATATGTCTGCAATTCAACCTATCATACTGAGCAAGTTTTCCTTTACAAATGCATGAAATGGTTCTTATGTTTCTTGCAGATCAAGTTTGAAGAAGGCGTAATCGGAACTCCCCAGCTGACAGACTCCATAGTGTTACCCGAGAATGTGGAATTTCTGGGACAAAAATTTGATCTGAATCCCATTAAAAGCTTGCTCACCTCTGTCCAGGACACGGCTTCCTCCGTTGTGAAGTCGATTTCAAGCCGACAACCGTTGAAGTTCTCGTTAGCATACAACAATGCAGAATCATGGTTACTTACGACGTACCTTGATGAAGATGTGCGAATTTCAAGAGGAGGGAGTGGGAGCGTTTTCGTGCTCATCAAGGAAGGCTGTTCTCTCTTGAACTAAGACTTCACTCACTTTTGCATCACGTTATCTATGCTTCTGGTTTCGATTACACTAATGTAATACGTTAATAAATAATTAAGTAATAATACTTAATATACACACACACACACACACCATCTTCTATACTTAAAGCACCAAACATGTATTATTAGTAAATCAATGCAAGTTATATTAAACATGTAAATTGAAATGTTTAAGCAAACCGCCCCTCATCTCAAATACATTTTAGTATTAGCCGATACTTTGAGGGGGTTGTCATAAGCATTTTCTACCTAGAGCTAGTTTGACATTGTTTATACGTAATAGTTTTGAAAAGCGTTACGAAAATGTATTTGAAGAAAATAGTTCAACATTTAACCGTTTATATATTATTTTCAAAAAGATACAGTAAAATTCAAAATATATTCCTTTGAATTATATTTAAATTCATTAACATTATTTTTCTAACATATATTATGATATATTATATATGTTAGAGATTATTTTTCATACATATATTATGATACATTATATCTGTTAGAGTTACTATTTTATTAAATTAATTAAAAAATATATTTTTTAATTATGATAATGTTGAATTATATCTTGATATAACAATTAAATTGTAAAATTGATTTTTTATATTTAACAGAATTTGTCAAAAAATTATCAAAAATACTTCAAAGTCCAAATTAACTTGAAAATTTATTTTTAAATGTTTTTCAACTTGTTTGAACCTTTTCAAAAATAAACTCGACCATTTTGCACTTTAAAGTCATGTTTCCAAGGTATTTTTGCTCAAAGGATCAATCTCTTGGGTTCCAGTAGCAAAGATAGCAAAGAGATCAATCCCTCAAGGATAAGGATCGATCCATTCACCAAAAGGATCGATCACTCGATGAAAATGATCAATCTCTCCCCTTAAAGGATCGATTCCTTTCTTACAATGGTCGAATTATTTGAAAAATGATCGATTTTCAATAAATGATTTATCTCTTGTGCATTAAATATTGTTTTTGGGTGTAGGTAACGGCTATAATGATCTTCAACGACTCCAAACAACTAGAATTGGTAGAGAAGATATAAATTGAAGGTTAAAGCATCTCAAGGTCAACAAGAACCAAATTGAAGCAATATACCAATATCAAAGAAATGTTTAGTGATTAATTTTGTCATATCCTTTGCAACACACTTGTGAGCTACATTGTTTAATTTGATCAGTATTATTTGGGCGAGAGCTTAATTATTACAAATACATTTATCTTGTGAGGTTTTCTCTCTGTTTGGTTCATTTGTAATTCCTCTTATGAAAAGAGTTTAAACAAAGTTTTAAGGTATAAACCTTGGGAGTTTCTATAAGGTTACATGTTGTCCTCAAAGGTTAGCAAATCTAGTGGATTTGAGAAATCTAATGAATTGTTGATGTGAAATCATGTTCTTCACGCCTTTTATTTGATCATATGTATGATTTTGAGGATATGATCAATATATATATATATATATATATCACACCATCTTCTATGCTTAAAGCACCAAACATGTATTATTAGTAAATCAATGCAAGTTGTTTGAAATTCTTGAATTCTGAGATATGTTTAACCTAGAAGGTTAGTGCTCTATTTTTTAGGGGATTCTGAAAGGAGAATTTACTAAAAATAATGTTATTATTTAATATTAAAACTTTAAAAGGATAATGTCTTTTAACAGATAATAGCTTTTAATTTCAAACATTCAAAAAGATATTGATCTCTTTTTAATATTCAAATTTCAAAACATAATGAATATCTTTTAATTTTAAATATTCAAAAAGATATTGTATCTTTTAATATCTTTTAATATTCAAATTTGAAAAGCTAATAATTTTTTAATTTGAGATATTTAAAATGATATATTTATCCTATTAATATTCAAATTTAAAGATATAATAAATATCTTTTAATTTATAATATTTAAAAATATATGAATTTAATTATTAAATTCATCAATGAATTCCCTTCATTTTCCAATAATCCCCCACATTAAAGAAATTAATGATTTTATCAAAATATTTTAACTCGATATGGTGATAGACTCTTCGATCGATAGTTGGATAGGATAGATAGGTATCCTCCTTTGAACATTCTCTTATGACAATATATTTACTTTGCTGGCTAACCTATAGATGTGATGTCCTTGAACTGTTCTACCGTTTGTCTAAACGATGATATACTTCACACAACCATTTCTCTGACAAGAATTTTAGTTTTCATGGGTATGTCCATAAAGCCCTGAACATTGTCTGGTTCTACAAGAGTTTGAAAAAACTATGCCAAATAGTCTTCTTGAAGTGGCATCACTTCATTCTCACATAGGTGACTTATGTTGTTTGGCTCATCGAAGAACACAAGGGCTATTAAAAGCTTTGCTTAGCCTATATCACATTGATCATTGTTTACATTATAGGAACAAACTTGGGATAAGAACCTCCATAGTGACCATAAGTGGTTTATACAATTAGGTTGTCTCATTGAACCTAGATCTTGGGATCTCTAGTCAACTAGGTAGGGTTTTCCTTCACATAACTCCTTTAAATTCCATGGGCTTTAGTCTTATTCGTTTAGATTTTTTCTCAAATTGATCTCAATCTAACCTGTTTAGTGGATCCACGACGTTATCCTTTGATATTACAAAATCAATAGAGATAACTCTATTTGAGATCAACTATCTAATAGTATTATGTTGACGACGCATATGTTTCGACTTAACATTATACATTAAATTCTATGCTAGTCACGACATATGCATATTATGGTAACATGTTCCAGCCATTCGGGAATATCCTCCAAGAAATTCTAAAGTCATTTAGCTTATTCTCTAAACTTAGCTAGAGTTACAAACTCATATTATATTTTGATCTAGTTATATCATTTTCTTAAGGATTTTCATGACATGACTTCTCTTACTAATGTGAAACATATTCACTTGTGCCTTTGATATCTTGAATATTAAATATCAAACTATCCTTCAACGACAATAAGATCTATGGAATAACACAATCCTTAATTTTGAGTATATCAGAGGTATCTTATCCGTCTCACAATCTCTTTTTAAAGGTTGTCCCTGAATTACTTGTGAATCTACTTAAACTGATCATAGTGAAAGCACTATCTAGTCTAGTACAATTCATTTGGATAGTTTATAACCAGTGCATATTTTATTTGGTTAATGTTTTAACCTTTGTTTTTATTTCTGGAAAAATGTTGACTCGCATTCATTGGAGTTCTGGCTATACCAAAATTGTCTTTACCGAACTTCTCTTGTCCATGTAGTGTGATCCTATCACTATGAGACTCTTAGAAAGATATTAGATTTTGGATGTCAAAAATCTAATATGTTAATCACATATTTTTCATGTCAAATCTTGACTCATATCAGTTAATCTCATATTTTTCATTTCAAATCTTGAATTTAACATGTCTTTGGTACATTTTACCATTTCATTGTTACTTCCAGCAATGAGCACGTCATTGACATACAAACATAGAATGATATATTCAATGTTTACACTTCTAGCATATACACATTTGTCACACATATTTATCTTTAATATGTTTTTTATCATGACACTATCGAACTTTTCATGCCATTGTTTTGGTGCTTGTTTAAATCCATAAAAAAGACTTCACCAATATACAGACTTTGTTTTATTGACCTAGAACAACATGCCCCTCATGTTGTTCCATATATATTTTTTCGTCAAAGGTCTCCATTTAGGAAAGCTGTTATAACATCTATTTGATGTTCTTCTATATTTTTTAAAGCGATAATTACGAGAGTATCATTCTTTTGAATGATATTCTTGATATAAGAGAATATGTATCAAAGTAGTCAAGACATTCCTTTTGTCAGTAACCTTTTATTATCAATCTAGCCATGTACTTATCAATTGTTCCATCTGTTTTCATTTTCCGTTTCAAATTCTATTTAAAATTTAGTGGTTTAGTCCCCCAGAGGAAGATCTATTAATTCCCATATATGGTTCTACATGATGGACTCTATTTCATTTTTAATCGTTTTCTTCTATAAGGTGCCTTCAGATGATCTTATAGCATCATTATATATTTGAGGTTCAGTCTCTAACATAAAGGTTAGAAAGTATGATTCCTTTAGGAACAACAATGATTCCTTTAACCACTGAGGTAAGTTAGTTCGTGCAATCAATGCTACTTCTAGAAACAAGTTCTGTTAAATATATTTATTCATAGAAAATTGAATAAAACATGTTTATTCAGATTGCTTCTTGTTTGGAAAAGTAGATCAATTAAACTCGTTAAAAAAATAAGAATTAAATTTCCAAAACCATATTTATTTACAAGATCTCACTATACAAACATGTCGAGATTTCTAGGAAGTAAATTCAATGATGTATTTCTTTTTACAAAATAAATTCATACTTGATTCTTAAGAAATAAATTCAATCATTTAAATTCTTTTAAAAAACAATCATTTAAAATTCTATGAAAATAAATTCAATAATTTATTTCTTTCTACAAAATGAAATCGTTCAAGATTTTCAAGAAAATAAAATTTGACGATTTATTCATTTTACAAACCAGACTCATAAGATTCATAGGAAATAAATTCAAATATTTATTTCCTTTTACAAAATAGAATCATTTAAGATTATGAAGATAATAAATTTAACAATTTATTTTCCTTGGAGAGTTAGAGTCAACGCAAGATTCTAAGGTAAAATAAATTCAATAATTTATTTCCCTTTTTTCCATTATTATATCTTCTATTAAATGACAAAATTAGTGGCACTAAAACTCGAAACAAATATATCATGGTAACTCGATTCTACTTAACAACTAGAAATAAAAGGACTAATCCTTTAATTTTGATAACCCAATATTCAAGATTCTTTGATTAAACTTTAAATATGTTTGTATCTATAAAATTTCTCAAAAGAAATTAATAGTACGATAACAGAATCCACAATGTTTCCAAACACAAACCATAAGTATTATTATAATAATAAT